GAAAACTAAAACTAAGACTAAAACTAACAAAGACCAAACTAAAATGAATCGGTTTTGAGAAAAAAAAACAAAAAAAATCTAACAAAATGAACTCTCATGAAATATCCCAAACTATTCCGATCCCTGCTTCTAATCACGCAAGTCCCGTTCTTACATAACGGGAAGTTGCAAAGCGCATGACGTTTAACGAGAGCGAGGCGGGACTTCCTAGCGCACACACACAGCCGTGAATTGCAACATTTACGTTATGTTGAGCTTGAATGGGCTGGAACAGGCACGCCTGTGCGTCATGTCCCGCTTCTCCACAGTGTCATGTTAGTTTAGCATAAGCACGTAGCCGTTTTGTAAACATTACCGGTAATACATATTTCTTTTATATGTACAGTACATTTTTATTTTTTCGCCGGAGAAAAAAAAAAATCAAGGGCAGATTCAGAATCCGTGCAAAATAAATAAGAAATGAGAGAAGAGTTTCATTGCATCTCTTTTGAAAACATTTGATTCGTAAACGTTGGTTAACCAGTGTTGTTAGTTTTCAAGCGCAAGGCAAATGTCTGTCGTTTTAGGGGTCTAGGACACAACCACCTCTATCACGTTTTATTATTAATAAGAATAATACAAGCGCTCACGCCTTTGCATCTGCCTCTGCTACACATTTTGTATTCTGGGATAAAGCCAAGAAGAATGTGCTGATTCATTGTGAGCTTCCGAGGAAAAAATGTGAAGGGGCAAAGTAAAATAAGAGCATACCCTCTTTTTTTTTTTTTTTTTTCTTTGCTTTGCTTTGTTATTTCAGCTTTTATCTCCTGGCTACAGACTTTATGAGATAATGGAGTGTCTGAGACTTCTTGGTTGTGCCTCCCAGAGTGTGAAAAGTTGCAGTCAATGGGTGGTTCATGTGTGGTGTCTTCAGGCAAAACGTGTGGGCAGCATTATCGATTGTGAGCGCCGTCCTTCACCTTTTAGATGTTGAAGGATAGAAATGGTCATCTATTTGACATGCACCAAACCAGTGGCAACTTGGAATTTGTCTTCTGTCTTTCTGATGTGTGATTTAGATCTGATGTGGTGCAATAGTAAAACGATTGTGCCCTGTGATCTCTGCCTAGCAGCAAGTGACCATGTAAAAGAAATGGAGCAATATTGTTCAGGTTTATTACATAGCAAAAATTGTCCATGCCATCTAATAGTAGTAGTATTTAGTAGTGTGAGTGCACATGTATGTACATGATGTCATCGCTTGTCAAAATCGAAATGATCTCACTGATATTTTCTCTTTTGTGACACTCTTTGTCGGAGATTTAATGTGAGAAATACTTTGATCGGTCACAAACCGCTCGTAACGGTCGAATTTCCAGAGGTCCACCCTGTTCATAAGAGTCAAGCGTTGTTATGATCCACGGTGATCTCATCTAAAAGAGACCCAAACCTGTGCCAAGACTTTTCTCCGCCTATTCCCACTAAAAAAAAAAACCTAGTTGACGGCAATTTATGTTGACGGTTTTCAAAGTGTTCAATTTGTCACTCTACACAATTAAAATAACAAGAGCTGACAACCACAATGCCAACAATAGCAAATAATCGAACAGTGATCTTATCTTCTTTGTCTTCTTGCCCTGCCTCTAAAGGTCAGTCTTGGTACTACAACAGACTCGCGTTTGTTGACGGGAATAGGATTACGTGTCTTGCTGTTTTGGTCATCTTGAGTACACCACACAAATTTGAACAGTAAGAAGTCACACAGCTTTTTCTTTTGTCCTCATGCAATTTAGGAGGTTTTTCTCACACACAAAAAAATTCAGCATGCGAGCATCCCGCATTGAGCGCCTTGCTCAAGGGCAGCTCATTGATGAAGCAGCAGTGTCATAACTCCCCCTGATGGTCATTGGAGGGATTGGATCACAGATTACAACCTTCACACCCAAAGAATGAGGCGCCTTCCCATCCTTAAATTACATTTGATCAGATGAAAATCCAACTATTTGTCGTCAGCGCTTAGCCTCAAGAGGGACCATCGCTGTCCCGTCCCACCCGACATATTGCACATGCCAGAAACTGCCACTCTAAGCACTACATTACCAACCAAATCCAAACTCGCATGATGAGAAGCATCATGTTATCCTCTCTCTGTGGCTCATTTTCCAACTTCGCCATCCTCGCCCAAGTGAGTTGTGGGGACCGGATTCTGGGATGCTGTGCGTATGTGTGTGTGTGTGTGTGTGTGTGTGTGTGTGTGTGTGTGTGTGTGTGTGTGTGCCGTGCTATCGTTCCATATGTCAGCACGGGTCCCTTTACACATTGTTAGCCGTAGAAGAAGAACCCGCACTCCCTAACTACACGACAGTCATTAGTCAAACAAGTACAATAAACATAGCAACGTCTTTGTTATTGTAATTTGTAACAAGAGCAAAGAAATTGGAAGGGAATAGAGTGTTATTGTTCGCGAGCTCTGTGTACACAATAGTGTCCCCAGGTATCCCTAAACTTTTGCCTCGTCTTAACAGAATGAAAAGTAGGAGTAGAGCCTCAAGAATAACAAGACAAGCAGTGCGATCCTCATTGTTATTGGGCGCATCAGTATGCAACAATCTGATTGTCTAACATACTGTCTTTAATGAAGGTGGACCAGGCAGGACACCCTGTGCTGACTTTGCTCTGATATTTATTCAATGCTATAGCTTGTATTAAGGAGAATAAAGTCTCTAATGGTAGATGATAAAAGTGGTGGACCAGCCAGGATACTTTTCTCGTGTTGGTATCAGCGTTGGTGATGTTACTGTTTGGATGTGTTGGCTGTGCTTCCACAAACTTTGCCTCAAATGATCACCTCGTGATGAATTATGTTAGCGTTTAGCTTAGCTTCATTAGCATATAGGTGCTGAGGGGATGTTGCCATTTGCAAATTCAACGCTGGTAGGCTTGTATTGTATTTTTGATGAAGGGATTGGGGGGGGCACAATTATCCTTTACTCACACTTTATGATTATTGTAACGTTTATCATAGAAGCCTCACAGCGCATTTTCTTGCAGCCTGACAAAAGTTTTGGTGATGCCTAACACAGACAAGCTTTTAGCCTTGCGTTAGCTTCTTGCCCCTGTTTTTGTCACTTCATCTTCCATCCATCCATCGAGCTAAAGTCAAGCCTTAAGCTGGTTGGCATATTTACCGATTTTTTATTTTTCACACAGTTGTAGGACTTTAGCAGGGGGCGGCCTGAGGCCATCCATCCATTCATCCATTTTCTAATCCGCTTATCCTCACGGTGTCGCGGGTGTGCTGGAGCCTATCCCAGCTGTTTTCGGGCAGTAGGCGAGGTACACCCTCAACTGGTTGCCAGCCAATCGCAGGGCACACCAGGAACAACCATTCGCGCTCACAATCACACCTCGGGACATTTGAAGTGCCCACTCAACCTGCCATGCATGTTTTTGAAATGTGGGAATTAACCCAAGTGCCCGGAGAAAACCCGCGCCAGAACCGAAATCGAACCCTGCGCCTCTGTACTATGAGGCCGATGTGCTAACCAGTTGACCATCGTGTTGCCCATTCCTCATTTACCGACTGATGACGCAGCATCAGGAAATACTCGGGTTCAGTATCTTGCTTAAGAACACTTTGATGAAGTCGCAATGGCCGGGAATTGAACCCCCAACCTCTGGGTTGGGAGACAACTACTCTACCACCGAGCCATGCCGCCAACCTGAGGCTGACATTGTATCCAAGAGGTTTGATGTCAGGATGCCGACATAGACGATCTCTGTTAGCATGTGCGTTGCATTAGCGTAGCATCATTAGCTTCGAGCCCCGTTTGATCACTTCAGCTTCCTTCGGCATTACTTGTCAATCTGATGTGAAGCTTTCCTTAGGCAATTAGGATTCTTAACACAGTTTGGAATTAAGCGGGGAGCGGCCTTGGGCCAAATACAATTATTCCTTACTGTCGCTTTAAGCGTTTTGTCACGCTATGCATCAAAGTGCAGCCTCACTCTGCTTTCTCTTTCTCTCTCTCTCAGACTGACATAAGAGTTTTGGATGCTTCCGTCCGGGTCGTCCAAAGAAATGTGTCATTCACGATCGCCACTCCTGCTTAATAAGGTCAGCCACGCTTCCGAAACCTTTGTCACCACAGCAAATCTGTCTCCCTCAAACAGCAATTTATCCAGCCGGGCAGCGTCATTTTTTTTTTTTTTTTTTAAACCGTCACAAGAAGCTGTAATTCTCTCGGTATCCTCGGCACGATCTTTCTCCCTCGACAAAAAAGAGCGAGCTCAGGCAAGTTGCATACAAAATAGCTGACTCAAACATCCAGCTGCATAATCAAGATAAAGGAGATGAGGGGTGGGGGGCGGGGGTGGCAGGAAGTGTGAGAGAGACGGAAGATGGCAAAAAAAAAAAGTTGCAAGCAAGTGAGGCGATCCGACACAAGTTGTGACTCATCATCCTTTTGAGATTTTGTGGATGGTTTCCCTGTCAAATGTTCTGCGAAATAAACGCAAAAGCAAGCCGTCTTGTGGTTTTATGCGAGCGAGACTCTTCCGGGGTGCATTTCCAAAGACAGATGGCACGGAGGCTGCGAAATCCTCAGCTTATCTTGCCAGTGAGTCCCGCACGGCCAAACTGTAATGACCGCACACTCGAATAAAATAGGTTAAGGCCATACATAGGCGGCGGCTAATCATTTCGTATTTGTTTCCCCACACTGGCACCGTGCACACTCTGATCATAAAAAAAAAAAAAAACTCTTACGCTAATTTATTGAGCTGTAAAACAACTTTTTTATTCTGCATTGAAAGCAATGGAAGCCAGTCAGACTACGGAGCTGTCCGTGGTGCTGAATGCAAACTTCGAGCGCTGACAAGTTCGGCTCACATTGCAGGTTTTTTTTTTTTTTTTTTTTTTTTTTTTTGGCGCAGCTCATCTACCACCCAACATTTTCATTCAAAAAAAAAAAAAAGCACGCTTCTTGCATTCTAGTCCAAAAACAGAAGAGGTTCCCTACCTGCGTGCCTCAGCTCAGTATCATCATCATGCTCAAAAAGAAGCTTCCATGTTCCCAGGGGTGGGGGGGGCTCCAACATCCACGTTTATTGTTATTCTTATTCTTATTCTTATTATTGATATGAATGATGAGTATTTGTTGTGAGTGCTCAGCGTGGCTGGAGCTTCATCGGCGCTCCTCGCTTACAGCTGAGCGAAGCTGCGCGCTCGGGCTGCTTCTTTCTAACCGCCGAGACGGCGAGCGAGGGAGGGGAGAAAAGGGGGCTGGGAAGGCGGGTTCAGGGAGGAAGTGTTTGTGTGTGTGTGTGTGTGTGTGTGTGTGTGTGTGTGTGGGAGGGATGAAGGGTGGAAGAGAGGAAGGGAGGGAGGTAGCTGTCATGGTGAGAGAGAGACAGAGAGAGAGAGAGAGAGAGGGAGAGAGAGAGAGAGGGAGAGAGAGAGAGAAGCGCGCGGCACCTTTGTGCAACACCGCCAGGCACGAGCACCAAGTTGTAAAGCTCCTAATGAGATTGGGCCGAGTAGCCACACCCACTTTCCTCAAGTCCAGAGACGACCCATGATGTCGTTTTATGTTATTGAGGGAGTCACATGACTTTATGTTGATTGAAAAAGGGAAAGCATCTGCGCTTACACTCACACCGAGGGACAATTTAGAACGCTCACGGAAAACCTGCCATGCAAGTTTTTGGAATCTTCGAGGAAACTGAAGTAGGCGGAGCTTTTTTGGGGGGGGGGGCACCTTTGTGGGTACGCAAGGACCCCATGCAAAATATCAATAACAAAGGATAACAATATGATACAACAAATAATATAAAAAGTGGAAGTTCAACAAAAATGATTAATAAGCAAATAAAAATGAGTGCACAATAGAAATCAATCTCCAGAAGATCGGAAACACTTCCAGACATTCGCATGTTAAAATAAAATTTTTGTTCAAGTTATGAATGTTTCCTTTATATTATCATAACTGATTCTTGTAAAATTCCGACTATATATGCATATAACATTAATAAGAGTCCATAGCACCAAATATCTATGTATACAGTCTATTTTGCAATATATCACGATCACTGTAATTAAATCGAGTGTCACACTGTGATGGCAGTGGTCCATAATTCTCGGGGCTTAAATAGACGTGCGGGGGAGGAGGGAGTGGAGCAAAGCGATGCAGCCAGCTGCAAAGGTCCACCATATTTCACCAAAGCAGTCAATTCTTGCTCCGTGTGATGGGGGATCAATTCATCTCAGTGATAAATTGCCAAAGAGCCGACACCGCTGCTTGCATGAGCCGCACGCAGGCCGAAAATCTGCACACGCAAAACGAAAATGTTTTCACTCATTTGAAAATGATGTGTTTCATGAGGGTTTTTTTTTTTGTCTTCCGATTCCCCTTTTTGAAAGTATAATCTTGGATATTATTTATTCATTATGCACAGTATAAAAAAAATAAGTCTTAACAGATATTAAGAGTGCCCTGCGATTGGCTGGCAACCGTTTCAGGGTGTCCCCCCCCCAGGCTACTGCCCGAAGACAGCTGGGATAGGCTCCAGCACCCCCCCCCCACCTCACCCCCCCCGCGAGGATAACGCGGATCGGAAATTGGATGGATGGATACTAAGAGTACATTTTGGATTTTTTACTAAGAACCCAAAATTCTGAGGCTGTGGACAATTTTAAATCTAAGGTCCCGAAATGGTTAATTGGTGATCAAAATATTTTTGGATGAATTGATCCATCGATTAATCATTCCACCTCTACAAAAAAACATTTGAAATAGTATTTTTCCCCCCTCCAAAATTAACTGAATTGATATTTTTATTTTCAAAAAATCTGTCAAATTATAATGCAATCAATTAACATATTTCCCCCAAATTATGTCATTCGTATTTTCATATTGTAATATAATAATGTGATTTATGCCCAATTAAAATGCAAAAAACAAGGGCAATATTTGGTTGAGAAAAAAAAATGAATCATCCAATTATTTCTACAATATCAACCACTTACCAGCACGATTCTTGCTGGAATGTGGCTGGAGCGCTGCAAGAATTTTGAGCATGTCCGGTTCATTGCAGATTCAAAATTGTTCTTTGGTGGGAATGTGAGTGTCAGTATTTGCTTGCCTCGTTATTGGCCGGAACCCAACGTTAGCTGGGATGGGCTCACCCACAACCCTAATGAGGAGACGTGGGATAGAAAATAGATGAATGGAAACAATATGTTGTTTTGTTTTGTTTTTTTACCCTGTGTCTCATACATATTATACATATACAGTACATATCCATGAGAGTATAGAAAGACTCATATAAGATGAATGTCATCCGTTACTGGCTCATGACAAGTGGGCACAACAGTCTAAGAGTACAAACTAAGCATCTGCTTGCGCACATGAAGACATCACATTTGAGCTTTACAAGATGAAATCTTCCCGCTTTGATTCATAACAGCCTGCGATTTCCTCTGGAACGACAAAGTCTGACGGGGGGGAGGATGGCCCGAGAAGATCTGGAAGCGGCTGCTCCGTTTTGAGGGGGTGGATGAATGTGCGCGGGTGTAAAGAACTTGGCTCCAGCTTCTGGAGACTGCGGCGTCGAGGAAGTGGATGTGTGAAGCAACGGCAGGGAAGCGCACAGCGGCCGCGCTGAATGTTTCGCACGTTCTAATGTCCTCGCCGCTTATGCTGTTAAAGCCTCAGTGGACCGGGCGCCGCGGTGAAAGATAACTCGGAGATGGTGGGGAGTTAAAGGTCTTGACTAGGCGAGTCAAGAAATTATACGTCTGCTTGGGCTCGCTGATGAAATATTTATTCGTGGGATACGGTTCTGCTGGCGCAACCTGTTCCGGTAAGCTGGGTGGAGAAACAATATGAGAGCTCACATCGAAGTCACACGGCGATATTCACAGATTTTGGAACTCGGTGCATTGATTAGGCGTCCCGTCTATTTTGGAGAAAATTGAAGACTTTTAAGTGCACGTTAAAATCCGTGAAAATACGGTACTCATATACCCTTTTATGCTGCTCACGTCTTTCGCTGTCTTTTTTTTTTTTTTGTGTTTCTCTGTCCGACTCCTCCCAAACCTTCTTCTTCTGTCCAACTGCATTTGCAATAAATGTCCATGACTACATAAATCATCACACGGGGAGTATATCAAACTTCCCCACTGGACAGAAAAACTGTTACGGCGTAAAAGTGGAGTAAGATCCTCCATTATTCATGACCAACGGGCCAAACGGGAGAAGTTAGAAAAAAAAACCTGCTAATAACGCTAACCCATCCTCGTTTCGCGACCATTTTACACTTTGTCAATGAATGAAGCATATCCGATCATGTGGCGCATGCAGCGGACAGACAAACACACACACACACACACACACACACACACACACACACACACACACACACACACACACCAACCCTGACACTAGCTTCACATTTGAGTATGTGTCAGTTGTCAAAACGGATGCACTCAATTGCAGCTCTGCTTACCTTTTGGCTTTTGTATGTTAGTTGAGGCAGCTGGACAAAAATAAATAAATAAATAAAATATCGGTGCCTTTCTGGCACTCAAGGACCCCAAGGGAAACGCCATTAACAAAAGGACAACTGGAACCGAACATGAACGTAAATGCTTCGTCAAATCTCGGTATGGGGCGAGCATATATTAGAGATGCCTCTCTGACTGTGCCAATCAAAACTGAGATTCGTTATGATTTGTATTTTATCCCAGTGTGGAATTTCTTCTGCAGCAGTACCCAATCACGAGTTCGCGAAAGATTTCAACCGAATCGCTCCCCGGTAGCTGTCTGTCTCGCTCGTGGGACCCGCCTCTCCTTATGAATAGACGATAATGCGACTAAATGAAGTCCGAGCGAGTCGGGGCGCGGGGGAAGAAAAGGCAAGACAGATACGCGGAATGAATTATTTAAATCCTTCATTTAGTGGCTAAGCCAATTTGGGCTGCGGAGGGAGGTAACGGCGCTGGCAAATAATTCAGGGGCGGAGACGGGGGGGGGGGGGGGGCGCAGGGCTGATTTAATGGAATATCTTCTGTCAATGAAGTGCAGCACATCCAGCTTGCTGGAGGAGGAGGAGGAGGAAACTGGCAGCAAATGGGCAAGATAGGACACTGGATGTACCGAGCGTATTTTGTTGATTGTCCAACACATGGAATGGCCCAAAAATCCGCTTCTAAACGTTATTTTTATACAGGGACAGAGATAAACATGCTTGCAACCCCAAATCAGCCAAATTGTCACTATACAAAATCACCCTTACAATATCATTTATCACACTCCCACTATACTTTTTTTTTTGTGTGTGTTAAAATCCATTTACATTGTGTTTAAAGTCCATGTAAAGTGTAATTAATGTCTTCTAAATTTGACAAACCAGAGAAAAGGCTGTTGTTAAGCCTGCCAAATCGTAATTAAACGATGATGGCAAAGTACATAAAATAAGGCTTAAAAAAAGTTTTCTCCACTTTCAAACACTGTGGGCGTGTCAGCTGCACGCGTCGAAACCGCACCGAGCTCAACTGTCGAATGTCAATCAAATTCCACTGCTACAATGCGGAAAATGGATGCTATGTTGTCTTTTCCAATGCCGGCATACAATGAGGCACTCTAAAGCAAACACACCGTTGCAAATCCCCCTCGATTCTGCCTCCTGTCCGTGACATTCATGCATTCACGACCAACAACGAGGCACTCTAAAGCACCCACGGCAGGGGACAAATCAAAGAGGAGGTGCTTTTTTTTTTCGGGGGGACGGGGGTCTTGCAAAGCTTGCTATGTGCATGTCGAGATGCGCCAGACATGGCACCAATGCGAACAAAGGTGCTAAAGTTCGTATGTCGTGGGCACTCAAATTTTAGCCACTGAAAAATCTGGAAAAAAAAAAAAAAAACAATGGCGAAAACCAGTCAGGTCTGGATCGTAACTTCCGTGACCAAAGTGGATCACTGTGTATTTCCACACCACGCAATGCAAACGTGAGAAGCCAACGTGTCAAATCATAGCTGAGGGAAGAAGGAAGTACGGCATCAGTGCAACCTGCGGCGTAATTATCGAAGATATTGAGTCGAAGGCATCATTTGCATAAACGCCGGGGAAGAGCGCAGCGCCCGCTTAGGTTACGACATGGGCCTCACGTCGTCAACCTTGGCGGAAGTGCAATTTGCATGCATTTGAATATGTTGACAGCGTGGAATGCACTGATGAGGGAGGAATTCATCT